CGATCAGAGCCCTTGTGTCTGTTCCGGGTGTCAGGACCCTGGCCCACGCCCACAAGCAGGTGTGTGTGGGGGGTGCAGCCTTTCTGCACAGAAGTGGGGCTCTGCCTTAGCCCCTGGAACTGAGCTGCCCTGCCAGGACTAGGCAGGGCTTAGCGTGGGGGCCCATGGAAGGGCATGTCCCATGCCCCTGGGGGAAGCTACTGCTGGGCCCCAGGCAGAGCAGGGGGGAGCCCAGGCCTTAGCACAGCCAGGAGGCACAGGACTGCAGGGCAGGAGGCTAGACAGGACCAGTGAGGACGGGGAGGGGACCTGAGGGGGTTCAGATTTGCTAAAAAGTCTCAGTGCATATATAATATCATTTTAATGCTGCTTCGCCCTGCCTGCCAGGCCATGGGATCAGGCTGCAGGGCCCAGCATGGCTGGCTCCACCGATGCTGCTCTTCCTTACACAAGCCCCAGGGTGGGGGGTCACCCTGCTGCTCTTCCAAAGCTGAGAGCATCAGGCTGTTTTCAGCGTTCAGCACCCATCTCTGGGCCGTTTTTCAAGGTGCTCAGTGTAACTGCCACTGGCGGATTTGAACCTGGGACCTCAGGGTAGGAGCCTCTACAGCTCGAGCGATGACACCAGCTGGCTGTTTAGCGGTAGAGCGCCCTTGTTCTTATCTCTTGCTGTAAGTAGCCTAAGCGCCACTACACGGGACAGTGACCCACAGGAGGTGTGGGGGTTTCATAAGTGCCCAACCGGCCCTGCTGTGCTGCTGGCAACTGGGTGGCAGGAACAGGGCCGCAAACTGCCCCTTGTGCACCCACCCTCGCCGCTGCCTCGCACCCCGTGGCCCTGCCCCCGCCCTTCACGTCCTACCCCGCCTGGCCGGGCACCTCGAACCAGCAGCTGCTGCTTACCCTGGGGGGCTGCAGTGCCTTGGACTCACACCCAGCCCACCCTGCCGTGGAGCCTTCTGAACACAGATCGACACCTGCCTCCAGCTCCAGGGGCTCTAAGGCGCCAAGCCGGGCAAGCAGCAGCAGGGCTGATACCACCATGAGGGGCAAGATATCCCCCGGAGCCATATCAGGCAGGTTACTCAGGGCACGGTCTCACACGGACCCCTTCCCCCACCTTCCTCACTCGGGCCTCCTCCCTCTCACCCCGCCTCATGATGGGCCTGTGACACGCTGGTCGCAGAAACTGGCCGCGGCTGCTGCCCTGGGTCTCGAGGAAGGACGCCCCAGTACCCCAGGCTCCGCAGAGGCTTTGGAGCGCTGCCCTGCCCTGGCTATGAGACCCAGATACAAACAGCATTTCTAGGGCTTTGCAGGGCTGGGCGTCAGGACGCCTTCCCTCTCACCCCGCCTCATGATGGGCCTGTGACACGCTGGTCGCAGAAACTGGCCGCGGCTGCTGCCCTGGGTCTCGAGGAAGGACGCCCCAGTACCCCAGGCTCCGCAGAGGCTTTGGAGCGCTGCCCTGCCCTGGCTATGAGACCCAGATACAAACAGCATTTCTAGGGCTTTGCAGGGCTGGGCGTCAGGACGCCTGGAACACCGTGAGTCTGGAGCCCCCAAAATCTACTAGCCTGGCCCCCTAAAGCTCTGGTGTGGGAGGGGAGCGTGGGGAGGGTCTTTCTCAGTCGGGGGCCATGTCAGTGAGGGGTTTTTAAACGTTTTTGCTTCTCACGTGTGTGGTGCACGGCCCCCAACTGATTTTTCTGTGGGTCAGCAGCCCCCCCCCGACCCAAAAAAGGTTCCCCAGCCCTGCATTTGAGTGACCGACTGCAACTGCTCCAGAGCTGCCCATCCTCCTGCAGTATCATACCATATCTGCCAGTATCTGGCTAAGCCCTGAATCCACTGCATGGCAGCGTCCCACATGTACCGTACCTTGAGTAAAGCAACCCCCCAGCAGCCCGTCCCGTAAGCCAAAGAGCAATTCACATCGGGCCCACTATATAAAAGGAAAATAAACTCCCTGCTACAAACAGCTGGCAGCCCATAGCCCCTTTAGGGGTGGAGAAGCCCCCACTGCACTCAGGGGCAAGCAGTGGGCATGAATAAAACCCTGTCACTAGTAACAGCTCAAACATGTAAGAAAGCTTCAGTACGTGCAGCTCGGGGGCTCAGATCGGACGCTGGTTAATAGCATGAACCCTACACTGATCTCTCAGGTTAAAACAAAACTGGAAACTGGATGGCAGCACAAGGGCCATATGGAGAAGCCCCCACTGCACTCAGGGGCAAGCAGTGGGCATGAATAAAACCCTGTCACTAGTAACAGCTCAAACATGTAAGAAAGCTTCAGTACGTGCAGCTCGGGGGCTCAGATCGGACGCTGGTTAATAGCATGAACCCTACACTGATCTCTCAGGTTAAAACAAAACTGGAAACTGGATGGCAGCACAAGGGCCATATGTTACCAACGGCTCTCCGGCCTTGCTAGACTAACTCCTGCCATCCTAGAGCATCTCCGCCACGCAGCCAAGCTGGGTATTAGTCATGGGTGGTGGCTGAAGGCAGAGCTTGGGGAGGCACATCCCTGTGTTTCCCGCCTGGACCGGGTCCCCCCTACAACTTCGGGGTCTCCTCTTCCATCACGCTTGGCTCGGCCACGCCAGCCTCCGGGGCCAGCCCTGCTGCCCT